CACATTTCTGCTTGCCAGCACACAAACTGATGTCTCATACTTCATATGATTAATTAGAATGCTTTAATTCAATTAGAATTAATAGTTCAATGAATAATCTATATTTGCGCAAGTTTATTGTGGTGCATGATATAAAGGCATTACACATGTTGTTACAGCTTCCTCTGCATGTGGGGGCAGATGTAACATTTCACTTGTAGTGATTCAATCAATATTGTGACTCTCACATTGCTTGTAAAATCATTTGTTGACTGTTAAGTAGCACACAGACGCAAGTTACCTTCATAAAAACTGTATTCAAATAATTAGGTTTTTGAGTAATGACATCGAAACCAAAAAAATGTTACACTTGCCCCCGGTCTCCCCTATAAACGAAGCAGCTACAGAGGGGGTTCATCAGTGAATCATCATGAATTTCAGGGCAGACCTCTATTACACTTTGCATCACAACATTTCTGCTGGTTTCCTCTTTCCCTTGAGCCGCACATGTTGAAACGAGATTGCATTCTCTACGGCAATCAGCCTTTCCTTTCAGTCCGACTGCATATCCCACCCACTCCTCAGGTCTCCAGAAAGAAACTATTATGTAGGCTGCTCATTCAGAGTGACCTTGGCTTGTGCAAAGCATGTTTTTTATGGAGAAAAAGCTGCAGTTGTTCAGTATGTTCTAGCTCCTGCAATCAACAGACAAAGGACTGTGTGAAATGTTCAGTTCAGTGAAGTCAGGTGAGGCAGGACACGTCCTTCACAGTGTGCCCTGGCTAAGCTTTCACTCTCAAATACCTGAGATGTTGGTGCAACAACTGCCTTCATGCTCTTCACTATAAGGAAAAGTAAAGGTTCATGCGCTTATAGCAGGGCTGGGCAGCAACTGGGGGACCGGTTTCAATTGACACCTTCTGTGACCCACCCTCCAGGGGGGTGTAAGGGGAATTCACCCCAGGAGAAGTTTGCAGAAACTAAACAGCTAACCAGTTTTCCACTTAATAATACATATGAAAGCAATGAAATAGAAAGACACTACGGTGTTTGACATTGATTGGACCCACAGCAGTCAAGCAATGGCTTCTGCTGGGGTACGGCAACACTGCTTAGACAAAAACAGAGCATTTTCTATCAATATATTTTGAGTATGGGGATGGGGAGGGGGGGGGGGTCCCTAATACATATTATAATTACTGCCTAGCCTTATTGTGGTTTTTAAAAATGTCTTTATACAATGACAAATCAAACCTGAGGCTGTATGAGTCCGAGAGCAGAGTGCGAGCTGTTTCTCCAGTCTTGACACCGAGAGCGTCGTGATCACTGCAGAAAACAGAGAGGTTTGCAAGTGCTGCTCATAACAGCCTCATGAATAACTAAACCTCAGATGCTCAGTGATGTCAGGCTGCACAGGCACGTATCTTCAAGTGGCTTCTGTTGGGAGAACACTGTGTGATGTGAACACAAAAACACTTTGAAGAGACAAGCCACAGAACAACTGAAAATACACCAAATGATTATTGTCACCATGACAGTATTTTGAAAGAAGAGAATGATATAAATTAGTGCTCATCAGCTGTGGCCATGACAACAAGCGTTTGGGCAATTACCTGTCCATCCATTTATTCATAATGAGGCAGGACACATCTGAACAATTATGTTTGAATATATCAGACTGCTATTTTTTACACAAAGGTTTATCTCAGGACAAAATATTCAGAGGCATAATTTAAATGTTATTTGAAGACTCATCTGGAGCTCATCTCTTTAAAGGAAAATTCCTGTAGTTTTAATTAGAGATCTTGAGTGCTGTGTCTGTATGGGGTGCTCATTTGTGTTTCTATAAAAGGAGTGTGTTATGCGTGATGAGACGATGACGCAGACACTGCGCTTGGTGTGGGTGTATAAGAGGAGCCACTCGGCTCCGTATCGGCGCTCACATGGGGAAGCAACTGGGTCTTCAGACTCATGATAGCCTCTCGGTGTCTGGAATTGAAACAAACATGGAGATGAACGCAACAGAGAAGCTTTACCTTCCCGTTGATGGCATCCTCGAAATGTTCAACCATCTCACCGGGCATCACCATGCAGGCATCACGCACCCAGGTCTCCAGAGCGCAGCCCTCACCCCAGTAGCCCAGCACCCTAAAGTCTCAAGCATATCGAAGGCGGGCATGGGCATCATCAAAACGGTTAAAGGGCGCTGGAGGCAGCAAGAAAAGAGAGCAAGCAGGTCCTCGAGTTCTGGAAACAGGCAGGTATCGAGTGATCGACTCCCGAAACGGTCCGTGGATCTGCTGGAGCTGGGTCTGACCAAGCCCAAGAACTGTCACAGAGTAGTTGTGCTTGGCGCACGGAAAGTGGGTAAAACCAACATCCTGCATCGGTTCTTGGGTAAAGAATTTGAAGAGGATTATGAACCCACGACGGAGGACTTCCACAGAAAGCTGTTCCACATTGGAGGAGAGGCGTATCAGATTGATCTCCTGGACGCCACAAGTGAGAGGGACTTCCCTGCAAAACGGAGGTTATCCATACTGACAGGTGAGCCCTCTGACTGATTATCAACTGAGATACAATTTTGGTGTTTCAGGAAAATGTTTTTTAACAAAAAAATGCCATGGAAATGTAACCTGTCACTAATTAAAGTGTTCTGTCTCTCTCCAGGTGACACCTTCCTGCTCGTCTTCAGTCTGGATGACAGAGAGTCCTTCAATGAAATCTGTGAGATGCTCGACGAGATCAAAGCTGCCAAGGCAAAGTTACTGAAATTAAAACATCCCCCGAGAGTACCTGTGGTGATATGTGGGAATAAAGCGGACTTGGAATCGCAGAGAGCCGTCAGACGCTCAGAGGTGACAGACATCCTCGGTGGGGACGTCGCATACTTCGAAACCTCTGCTAAAGACGACACCGGACTTGAAGGTGTGTTCAGGGCCCTCGCGGCTCTAGGTGGACTGCCGGACGAGACGAGTCCGTCACGACATCAGATTGTACCCATCCTCACCTACCAGTCGATGTGCATCGGCCAGCGAGGTAGAGGAGGGAGCCGGGGAGTCGGTGCGCCCTGTGCCGCCGTGGAGCCACTGGCGCGCCGCCCGAGCTTCACCAGCGACCTGCGGCTGGTGCTGAGGTCCAGCACCAAACAAAACAAACCCGAGAGGTGTCAGATTCAATGAATTTGAGAGCCTTCTCTATAAACCAATTGTAGTAGTATGCTGCAATGTCATATTATGTAAGGAGTTATACTCTGTATAGCACCTGGCTGGACCAGTGCATTCATATTTTGTTTTTTTGTATGTACCTGTATATTATCCTATAATAAAAGTATTTCTAATTGTCACATGGGCTTCTGTTCTATCAGTTTATTCCAGACATGCAATGAAACATGTCAATAGGATGTGGATATTGTTAGACTATTTTCGTCACCAGTTAATTGTCCTCAAGTGGTGGCACAAAACATGACCACAAGGGTGTGTGGGAGGACGGAGATGACTCACACACTGACCTTACACACCTCCTAGTATTTGTTAGACACCAGAGATTGTTCATATTCCAAATCCTCCCACAAGGCTGCGGATGGCACCAAGGGTCGAGGTGTTACAATGCCCGGTTAGTCAGCACTATAATGGCCTACACTCTCATGTGTCACCGTGGTGTTTCTAAACACATAAAGGTTGGAGCATCATCTATTGAAGAGGGGGAGGTGAGAGACGCATTGAAGTCGGTGAAATCAGCACCATGGAGAGAGCCCACATCAGACTCGGCTCCACCGTAGAGTAGAAAATCAATTTATAGCCTGCCTTAAAAACACTCAGCCTTTTCTTCCTCACATATCCAACCCACTCTTCAGGTTCCCGAGAAGAAACAAATGTGTGGGCTGCTCATTCAGAGTGGCCTTGGTGTGTGTGAAAAGGATGGTTTGATGGAGACAAAGCCTCGGTTTTTGAGTTTCCTGCAATGAGCTGACGAAGTTTGGTGCTCCTTGGAGGTTAGTGTTCAGTTCAGTACTTAAAAGTGCGTCAGGGTGGCATGTCCTTCGCTGTGTTCCCTTTCTAAACCCTCTCTCGTCAAATACAAGACCTACTGACGCAGATGAACACATTTGTAAAGCGGAGGTAATGATTTATGCCCTTATACTAATGTTACCAGCATTGTTTAGATCATTTACAGAGTGGGAAATAAAAGCAGACTGCATTTACTGACAGTGCTGAAGAGGACTCATCATCAGGGTTTATGAATCATAGAGCAGAGAGGGAGCTCCAGTCTTGATACAGTGTCGTGATTTCTGCAGAAAACAGCAGGGATCGTATGCAAGAACTGGTCCTTAGTTATGTCAGGCTGTACAGCCACATTTGTGCATGTTCATGAAGCTCTCTGGCTGTAAACATACACTGACTGAATCCACATCAAACTGTCACTAACAATCAGGGAGAAAAATCTGGTTACACTTTATTTTTATGGTCCATAATCTCTTTAAAAAATCTATATCTATATATCTCTACAGTATATATTTCCCTATATCTAGTGCCACATTACAAAGTTCTGAGACTGTTGTTTACCTTTACTTTATTGAGTTTATAATCAGTATTAGATTGCCAGAGGATTTTGCTTCAAACACAACTGAACATCATCTCTCTCTCCTCCATAATTGTAGTCCCAGATTATCCCAGGAAAGTTCAAAGGAAATAATTACGATATTAACAAATTGCTGACAAAGTATTGTGTGAAATGTACCTACTTATAAGGCTCAATTATTATCTTTATGCACCCAAAGGGAGTTGGGGTGTATCTAAAGAAGGCGACGCAATTTCCTGTGTACTGGGAGAACAATAATTATGTTTGGATGGCAGTACAATACCTTAATGAGAAATGTCGCACAAACAATAACTGCGTGACAGTACTGGGAGGCTTTTAAAAATAGAATACATTATGTTCTCATCCAAACAAGAGTGATGGCAGTTATTACAATATGATACAGAGTCAATATAATATAAAAGCCCGTGGGGCCTGTTTTATTTCTCTGTACATGTCATCTATACAGCAGCGTAACACAGAGGAGGAAAAACTCAATACAATGTGAAAAATGGCAAAGCCTTTAAGACAGAGGTCAGCAACCTTTACTATCAAAAGAGCTATTTTTGACCAAAAATAATCATTTAAAAAAATCTGTGTGGAGCCGCAAAACATATTAAAGGCTTTTAATGAAGGCAGAACAGCCTATCAAGTATAAATTAGCCTAAACTTATAGTCTAAATGAGCATTCATTCATGTTTACCATAAGGTGGCCACTCTGCAGGGCACTATTTATGATTGTTTGGTACTTTAAGTCTGCAGAGCTGGCAGTGAAAGCAAACAAATCTTTCCAGGCACTACTAAATTCTCTATTGTATTCAGAGACTTTTACTGTTTTGGATTTGAGAGACTCAAGGCTAGCCACTGCTATTGAGGTTCAGCAAAATTTCAAGGAAAATGTGTACGCACATTTTAGCTGCTGAAATGTTAAAACAATTTTATTTGGTATAGAGGCTTCACATTTTTACAGTTGAGGAATATAAGAATTTTTGTAGGCTTGAAGCACTGACACACACAAATTAAAATGTTAAATAAATAACTGTTATTCATTTCCATATATTTTTTTTTTTGTCAAAGCCACAGGGAGCCATTGGAGAGGGGCTAAAGAGCCACATGCAGCTCCAGAGCCTTAAGAGAGCTTTAATGTATAGTTCCAGTCTTTAAATGTGGGGTTTTATGAGGTACTTATTCATAGTCAGTGTATTATATATGCAGTAGATGGCGGTTGGCATATCCCCGATTTGGAGAAGCAGGCAGGTGTACCAACACAGAAGCTAGGCAATGCACTGCTGTGGACAGGGTTGGCAACAAGACTTATTTTAGCCGCTAAAAAGGCCCACCTCAAAGAATCAATAAAATTTATGCGTATGCTATATTCAGAATATTTTCACTGCATTATCCGAATCAGACAGGTCTTGACAAGAAAGCTGTTAATGGCTTCAGTTGCCCATCTATGTGCTCATCACAGTAGGTGAGCCTTATTTATGTGGCTTAAATATGTTTTGCTGCTGCCCCCATCCACAACAGTAAATTATTTAGCTTCTCTGTTGGTACTTGTACTTGCTTCTCTAAACTGGGGGCTGAGCAACATTTTCTTTATATAATACACTGACTATGGCCAAGTACCTCGTACAACCACACTTCAAAAGATCCAAGCTATCTCAATATTAAACATAAATAATAAATAGGTCAGACTTGACCTATGAATCTGCCTGTTTTAAGGATTTTTCACAAGTCCTGTCAGTGTAACCCACAAACTTTTGCTGAAGTTATCCGCTCTATCAACATTACTGTCATCGTGGGTTGCAAGTCCTCTTTGTTTGTCCATCAGCACAGTGGTGGTCCCTGTGTAGCCTCTGACTGATTTGTCTTTCCAGCTCCACCAGCAGAGCTGGCAGGATGCTGTCCAGTAAGGCCAGTCCATCCCAGGAGCATCGCAGGCCTCTGATAATATGGAAAGAAGAAAAAACATGGATAAGAGATTCAGTGTAGAGCTGCGATGATTAGTTGATTAATCGATTAGCAAGAATGCCAAACATTCCCTGGTTTCAGCTGCTCAAATGTGACGATTTGATGCATTTCTTTGTCCTAAATTACAATTTAAGTGAATATGTTTGACTGTTGGTCAAGTAAAACAAGCTATATGAATACATCAGCCTTCAGACGTGGGGAATTATTTTCTATCAAAACGATTAATTGAGAAAAAATAACCAGAACTTTTGTCCTAAATGAAAAGAATCGCTGCAGCCCTAAACAAGTGAGGTGGGCAATCTCTTTCGCACCAGTGTAAATGTAAAACTTTAAATTCAAGTATTGTTAATGATAGTCATGAGTCACCTGTCATCAAGAATGAGTTGTCCTCTCTGTAGCAACTCTTGGACATCGATGGATGTTCCAAAGACATCATGGAGGGCCAGCTGAGGGCTAAACAACTCCCAGTGCTGTTAAATACCAGAAAATGACCTTGAGATGTGCTGAACATTGAACAAATAAGACGATCACACAGTAGCTGTGCTGAATAGAATATTTTCTATAGTAGTGTATTTCATGTAGAAATAAAGGGTTCACCTTGTGATGAATGCCCTGGGTCATTCTCATTCCCATCACCAACACCTCCTCCAATCTACCAAAGAAACATCTTTAATGAGAACAGTGACTAGATGTTGATAATGACAAGGACAGGACACACTGAGTGAAGGGACGAGTCTGATAATAGCATTTCAAAAGGACAGCGTGTCTAGAAAACAAGCACATGTACAGCGACCTCCAACACCATGTTTCTCACACTGTGTAATTTTAGTCATTGCAACATACAACAGTGCTGCCTGTAAGTGCAACTGCTCACAGTTCAAGATAGCTGAGGCGAATCCGCCTCCGTGTCCCATGTCCCCTCTGCTGGACTTCATGAATCCAGACGTCAGGCTCCAGAGTCTGGGTCCGCGCCTCCCGGATGACACCTCCCTCCCCCACAGGAACAAACCGTCCGTGTGCTCCTGTCACACACAAACATGTTAACTTTGCCACAAGAACACTTTTTCATTAATCACTGCCTTCAATAGATAATAACAGCTGACCTGGGCCGACGCCGATGTACTGTCTTCCCTTCCAGTAACTTGTATTGTGATGACTCACTGCGTTCTACATAGCACAAAGTGAGGTGTTACTGTGCTGTCGTGATTGTTCTTCTCAGACAAATTCATGAGGTAGTATGGTGCGCAACAGAGCAGCCTTGTTGATGGAGTGATGGAGGCACTTCATCAGAAACTAGAGCTGGATAACAGTCAGAAATAGGGCTGTAAGACATGCAGAGAATATGCGATAACAGTGAATATCATGATAACGATACCGCTTGTGATATAAACAGATATTAGATATACACACAGATATATTTAAGCATTCCTTTACTGAACAAAGTGAACTAAACCTGAGACACCAATAAAAAAAGAGAAATTGTTGCTTTCTACCAAGCGACAACCTCCAGTGCTAAAAAAAATAAAACCAAAGCAAAAGTGCTAAAAACCGCAGTTCCTAAGATGGCCACTTGAGGCTGGCTCCAAAAGGGATTCCACCCCCATTAACACCCATGTTAAAATGCCCAACTTTATAGCAGAAATAAACATGTTTACAGCCTGGTACAAAAAAAGTTTTGGTCTCTATAGTTTAATAATAGCATAAAAACATACAAGGGGTTAATTTATATGTAACTCCCACGTTTATATTTAATTAAAGCCTAAAGTTACACAAAGAAAGGACTGCTTGAGTGACAGGCTCTCTGCAAGGTGTTGATACAGTCTGTAGCCCCTTTTACACTGCCAGATTTTCCGCGAATGTTGGGCCGTTTTGCTGGCAAGCTGCAAGTGTTTAAACACATAGAGGCGGAATGGTGAGTTGATCCGAGGTGCCCAATTTTCCGCCTCGTAGGGTAGACTTATTGGCCACTGGTGGTGGACAAACAGGAAACAGCTGATAGCAGGAATTAGTGAGCAGCTAGTAGCGAGAGAGAAACGCAAACCTGACAGACACTACAGTAAAGATGAGCAACTGGGGAGACAAAGAATTGCGCGCCCTCCTTGCCCTCGCAAACGAAGAGGCCATTACCCGTCAGATGACTGGGATGGTGAAGAACAGGCCGACTTATGAGAGAATCGCTAATGGACTGACTAGGACTGACTCCGTGGCTTCCCTCCCACGTCACTGTTTACGTCACCTGCTGAGCTACATGTTTTGTTACTTGCTCACGCCCCCCATTGCCCCGAAAAAGGCGTATTCTGTGTAAACAAAAGTAGGCAGGCGGCATTTTGCTGCACTCCCCGATTTTGTATTTATACTGCCAATGCTGAAAGAAGACTGATTGGGCTTTCCTGCAAATTTGCACAATTCCTATCTACAAAGGGCTTGTGAGTCAGATCTACCCCCCACTTCTCTACAGCTCCACCCTTGTGTCCAAATATGGTCACTTCTGGCTCCAAAAAAATCAAGATGGCGACGGCCAAAATGCCAGACTCAAAACATGAGTCGACAAACCAATGGGTGACGTCAGGGTGGCTACATCCATTCTTTTTGTACAGGCTTTTTTTTTCTACTGATAGCACTAACTCAAAAAAAACATTTCTGGGTGCAATATCTCAGTCTTTCCCATGTGTTTATCATGCAAACTGACACTGCAGAAACAGTTTAAAAAACAAACTGTTTCACAAGCAATGTCCCTTTTAACTCAGCCGCAAGACTTTTAACCGAAACCAAGAAGAACGACCTCATCACACCAGTTTTAGCCTCTTTACATTGGCTCCCTGTTTGTTCTAGGATTCACTTTAAAATCATATTGATTACTTTTAAGGCTCTTCATGGCCTGGCTCCAGATTACATTTCAGAACTGTTAGTCTCTTATGAACCTTTACGTAGTTTGAGATCCTCTGGCAGATGTCTCCTGCTTGTGCCAGAGTCCAGACTGAAGACCAAAGGGGACAGAACTTCTGCCACCAGGGCCCCGAGGCTCTGGAATGACCTGTTCAAGCATATAGGCTGTCCGAGTCACTGGCTTCGTTTAAATCCCTCCTAAAACCATATTTCTATCATAAAGCATATCCTGACTTTATCTGAGATGTTCGTCTATGTTATTGCTATCTAACTGATAAAATAAAAAAATTCACCCCTGAACCGTTGTCACAAATGGGGAAATTAGCTATTGGGACCAAAACATGTTTTTTTGTACCAGGCTTTTAACATGGGTATAAATGGGGATTGACTCAGTTTTTAGGCTAGCCCCTAGTGGCCATTCAAGGAATTGCAGCTTTTAGCACTTGCACATTGGCTTCATTTTTCAACCTTCTTGCAAGCCACTTGATTTTTACTGATATTCTCTATACCTTTATATTAATATTATGTAAAGTTATTTTTCATATTGTGTCTTACATGATGTAATGTGTTTTTATTCCTTTTATAAAGCATTTTGTCTCTAGTATTCCACAGGTTTTCAAGTGATAAACTTCTCTGTAATCTTTATAAAATAATCAACTTAAATACGGAGGACATCAGTGAGGACTTACATTTCTTGCAAAGTTAGACACCTCATACTGCAGGAAGCCATGCTGGTGGAGAATCCTCCTGGCGCACTGATACATGTCTGCTGTCACCTCTTCAGCGGGCATTGTCACCTTTCCTGCTTGCACCTGTTTAAACAGCTGGGTGCCTCGCTCCAAGGTCAGCTGGTACAGAGACACGTGGTCATCGGACACTCTCAACAGCTCGCACAGCTCATTCTCCCAGGATTTAACGCTCTGGTTGGGTCGCCCGAACATGACATCCACCGACACTCTCCCGGGGCACAGCCTCCTGGCCTCTTCTACAGTTTGCAAAGCCTGATGGGAGCTGTGGTCTCTTCCCAAAACTTTCAAATCCTCATCCTGCAAAGACTGGAAGATTGAAAAAGTTATATATGTGCACAGTTCACAATCTAATTAGTCTTCTGTAGATTATATATTCACCTGGACGCCGATGGAGAATCGGTTTACCCCTGCATGCCAATAGTCCTCTAACTTTGACTTTCCTACAGGAGTAGGGTTGACCTCGAGCGTGACCTCAGCTTTATCCAAGAGATGCGCCCGCCTGGAAACAGTTTCAAGGACTGCAGCAATGGTTGAGGGTGGAGCCAGGCTTGGAGTCCCACCACCAAAAAACACTGAGGTAATGCTGCGGGGATAAATCAAAATTAAGTGTGAGTGATGGCATGTGTTGTGAGCAGAGATCATGTGAAGGTCTAATGAATGAACATACCAGGACACCTGACTGAGCTGCAGCAGTGTTTCAGTCTCCCTCTGAAGGCACTCAGTCATCATGTGGTCATTGTCCTCTCTGGGTATATACTTGTTAAAGTTGCAGTAGGAGCACCGTCTGAGACAGTAGGGCCACTGCAGAAGAAGAGATGAGGAAGGTGACTTTGACATGATTTGGGCAAACTTTCTAGACATGACAGTATTTGCATTAGACTGAAAAAAGATTTATGTCAGTCAGTGCATGGGTATGCATATTTCTCTGCACTGAAATATTTAATCAGATCCATTGACCAAAGCCAGCTCACGTGCACGTAGAGAGACGCCTGCTTCGTGAGATGTGCAGAGCCTGTCCGCTCAAATAAATCCTCAATTATTTCGCCGCCGGAAGTCTGAGAGAAGCAGCGCAGCCCGGGAGAGAGGGCACGTCTGCAGGCATGGAGCGTGTGTTTGATCATGCTGGTGTCTGTCTGAAAGTTGTCCTTCACTTCAACACATGGTCACGTGAAGCAGCTACACGAGTCTCGAGGCTCCATTATAAAGATATAGATTATATCAAAGTGTCAATAATGTGGCCGAAGTTACTACAAAGTAGCGTAAAGTCATTTCGTCCTGTTTACACATCGCTTCCTGGTAGCTGTGACGTCACCCCTAACAGGAAATACATACAATGTGATTTCCTCTTCGTGTGTAACACAGTTTGACCACACAGGGGCGCTGTTTCACTGGTGTAAGGGCTACCCATTAAATACATTTGAAGATAGATAGAAACACACCAGTGAAATGATGGTCTAGTCCCAGGATAAACTCTATTATAAAGCACCGTTCAAAACACACTTACAAAGTGCTTTACAAAACCAAATAAAGGACAAAGCATATAAAACAAGATAAAAGCAATAAAAACAGAAAACACATGATAGAGTAAAACACGCAATAATAAAACAGTTAAAATGAATTTAAACGAGTAGTTTGCAGCCCTGCTCTCACTGGACAGGTTTATCCAAAGTCGAGCAGCTCTGACTGCAAAGGCTCTAACACCTTTGTGAATTAATCTAGACCTGGGAACAGCAAGGAAAGGTGCATCTGAGGATCTCTGGGTGTGAGAAGGAATGTAGGGCTATAAAAGATCTGTTACATAACTTAGAACAAGGCCTCTCACGGCATTGTAAGTTACCAATGAAATCTTATCTTCTTGGCTTCTAAAAGTAAAAGCCTGTTAAGCTGCTACGTCAGTTTGTATGAAGACTGTTAGGAATTAAGGAATGTCTTACGCAGAATTACCCAAGAACCTTAAGTATCACTTGTACAATGTAGCCCAAATATACGCAAACATCACATGATGAACATGACATGAACATATTTTATTGCATGAGGCTGGTGTGCAGGTTTTTGTAAATACTATCATTTGTTGTTGCAGTCACAACCCATGAAAGACACTAGCTTATATCTAGAAAACAAATTCATGCTCTGTTCACACAGGATCAAACTAATTTAATGAGCTATTGATTTCTCTGATTCTGGTGGACTGACAGTGAGATGACCTTGTGGGATCACACACAAAATCTGTGTTGATTTTAACAGAGGAAGCAAAAATCAGTGCAGTTTGAATGGTTATGAAATTATTTTATCATTAGGGTTACAGTTCATTAAATCTCATCATTTTGAGTTCAACTCAGCTTTGTTATAGGACAAACAACTCCTCAGTTACAGTTTGTCATGTTCAAATAATTACCTCTGACCATCGCTGTTTGACACTGGAGAGTTTGATGTGATGATAATGGTTATACAAATCCAATATATGACGTGTGGCAGTGAGTAAATAAATAAAAGAGCTACCACATCAGCCACAAAAAAAGGAATAAATCTTCTCACCTCCTCTCATCCTTCACACTTTTACCAAAGTACAAAACACAGCAGGTCATTATGTACTTAATCTAAATATTTCATTAACAATGTCAATAAATGTGAATGTGCTCACTGCCAGCCTCCAACCCCGGGGACATTTTCCACTTAATATTAAATCTGGCACCAATTACCCTCAGCAGAGAGTGATAGAGACAGAGCGATTGCTTTATACTGAATGCATGCAACAGTTATGGTGATGACTTAAGTCCACACAGAAGCTGGATAACTTTGTGATAATCCAGATCAAAAGAGTGTATCTTTGCTGGAAATCTGCCAAATGGATAAGAGAAAGAAAGGTAAGCTCACTGACTGACTACATGGGGTTACGGGGGTTAACAAATACGACATGGACTCAAGTTGTGGAGCTGTAAAAGTGGGGTCATATCAGTTTGCATGTCACTTAGCAGCATTTATGAGCTGAAAGAATTCTGGCATGGTAATGTTGGTCCGCCGGTTGGTCAGTTCACCACCACTTTGATCCAAATTGAAATATCTCAACATATATTCGATAGATTGACATATATTGTACAGATATTCATGGTATCCAGCGGGAAAATTCTAATGACTTTGGTGATCCCGTCTTTCCGTAATGCCGCCATGAAGTTGACTGTGTATGGATTGCAGTGAAATTTGATGGGGCATTCTTCTGTTGCCCAGCTAGTACATAATGGAAACCTGGAAGGATACTCTGTGTTTGCTTGGGTAAGGTTAGGAGACTATAATCATGACTTTGAAAGTGATTTAATTGCATGGCATGGAACTTAGTCTAGATAATTTTTTTGTATGGAAAACAACTCCCCAACAATTTAAATAAAACTCCAAAATAATAATAATTTTATAT